CTCTCTAGTCTTACACAGCTAAATTAGGGACGGCTAGCGCAGATAGCCCTCGTGCAGCTTTGCGCGAAATCCATAACAAACAATCATAGAGTGTATTTACCAAAATAAACAAAGTGAACTTAGTGATATATAGATCAATTATAGCCTAGCTGTACACAGAGACATAGTCACCTTTTTCATAATTATATTGTATATCAGTTATGATAAACAATTGAAAATAGTTTTTAATGGCCCTATTTTAATTCATTTAACAGCAAGTTATATGGAATTAGTTTAACAAATTTTGTAAATGTTGATGTTTGTTTGAAGTTAAGCACAAAGTTACACAAAGGGTTATCTGTGCTCTGCCCACCACGGGTATCGAAACCCGGTTTCTAGCGTTGTAAGTCCGGAGACATGCCGCTGTGCCACTGGGGGCACTTAAGTGTTGAAAATCCCTTACAGATTAAATAAAATATTTAACTTAAAACACCTTTTGTGTCAATGACTCCAATAAACTTGTGTAAAGATGCTGCATTTTGTACACCTGACTTGTTATACTAGGGTCCACAAGATAACCAGTCACAGAAAAGTCAATGAACCAAGTTATTTTCAAATTTCATGACCAAAATTTGTAGTTAATGTGAAACGTGCACTCTGTTTTTGTGAATTTAAACTTTAAGCCTGATATGTTACTCTCCCTATATTTATTTTCAGAAGAAATAAAAAGGTTTTGGAAGTTTAAAATCAAACATTAATGGCAATTAGTATGATTAATGAAGCAGCTAATACATAAGCACCAACACCCCGGCAATTATCATATCCCACAATGCCCGCAATAATATGTCACCAATTCATTTTGATGCCCTGAATCCGAATCCGTTAACCTGTTCCCCCAGACATTGGGCCCTAAAGTTGGAAACTTTCGCTACAAAGCATATACAGGAAACTTTCCACTTTCATTGCAAATAAACCAGCGTTGTCCGGTGATAAAAGCTGGCGTGTATTGTGTAAATTGGCGGTTCGAATCAGACTTCCAATGAATTACATTTTTTTAAACATAAGTTAATGACTATGTTAAATAAAATACTTTTGTGAAATATTATCCCGGGCATTATTTAGTGTGCTAGTTGCCGAGATATCCGTGATAAATTTAAATACAGTAAAACGCCTTTTGACCCTAGATTTAAGGCTTGAGACAAGATGAGCTTTACCCTAAAACTCAACCGACAACTAAGAAGCATCAGCGAGAACAGGGGAGGTCCTGCTGTCACATTATTGTAGAGCCCACTGAGACTGTACTTGAACTATGGGAATGTTTGTTTTGTGGGCCAAAGGTACAAACCAGATATCATACATCATGTTTTCCCTGTTACATAAATGATAGTAGAACCTATCGATACTTTATTTGAGCCAATTGTTCTAAACTCATAACAAGGTAATATAGAGTATACTTTCTGCATCATGAAAGCCAAACCCACTGAGACCACATCTCATAATATAGAATGTCTGTTGAATCAGCCAGGTGTTACCAAAGTTTGTTTGTTTTTTGAATTTCGCGCAAAGCTACACAAGGGCTATCTGCGCTAGCCGTCCCTAATTTAGCA